TTCAGGCTAGTGGGTGCCTGAAGCTCCCAACTGCTCCCTTTTTTCTTTTCTTTTTCTTTTTTTTTTTAATTCTGGGCCAGCTTTAGCTCTGAGGCTCCAGCTCTTAAGCCTCCGCTGCTGAAAGCAGGTTTCTGGCCTTTGTTTACCTTCTGTATTTGAAACAATGTTGCGATCCTGCTGGCTGAAGCCTGGCAACTAAAGCAGGTTTCTGGGGTTTTGTTTAGCTTCTATATTTGTAACATAGTTGCTTAGAGTTGCAGCTCAGAGGCCGGCAGCGGCAGGTGGGGAAAGCTGGAGTCCTCCATCACTGAATCAAGCAAGCCTCCCTGTTCGCATCAGCTGCCAGGCTGCCGGCCGCCATCTTGGCTGCCAGTTATTTTGCATATCTCGACCCTACTCTGTGAGTGACAGGGGGATTAGCCAATGGGAAGGGTAGTGGTCGTACACCAATTACCATGTTTCTCTTTTATTAGTGTAGATGTTGAACATTTATATTTTATGTGCTGTATGAAAAGGCCCTCCACATGGCAGAACACACTGGAGTAGTAACTTTAAATGACATTGTTTCTTAGGTGATCCAATAAGTTCAGCAAAGCATTTCCTTTCAACTGGACTTGAAGCTTTAAGAAGTCTTTTTTTTTTTTTTCCTGTTCCCTCTATAAAATTCTAAGCATTCCCCAAAATGCTCAATGAACAGTAACTGAATACCTTTTGGGGCTTTGGGTAAAAATTCACAGGCACTCTTCACTCAGGGTTACAAGGGAGTCAGACCCTGCCGCACAGGACAGATCTTCAGGAACATGAGAGGCTGCCATCTCCGAAAAGGAAGTAAGCTATCCAACAGCATACTAAGTGAGACAAGTGAGCCATCATGCTGTGTAAGTGAAAGGCGGTGAGGAGAGGCCTGCCTTGGGTGGCAATAGTTTCATTTTCTTATGTCCTTTGAAAATACCACCTTCCCTGAAGCAGGCCTTTTACAGACAGCTAGCTACTGTGTGAAAGGAGATGTGGTGAAGTCAAGGAGGTAACATATTTCAAAGAAGAAACAGAAGATAATCCCTAGAAGGAAGAAAAATGAGGCCAAAAGGTGATAAACTCAAGTTTCAGTTCACAACAGCTTTGCTGCCTGGCAATCTGGCAAAAGGTACTAACAGCCTTAGGCTTAAAACCTTTGATCTAATTCCACTTCAAGGCAGGTATTCTAAGTAAATAATTAAAGATAAAAGAAAAAAGGAGCTATGAGGATGTCCTACATCATGCCCTCCCCAAACTAAGCTAATTAAATTAGTAACACACAATGAATAATCTACAGACACTAAAAATGTGAGGGAGGTATATTTATTGGTGCAAAGATAGCCCAGCTTATATGAGCAAAATAAGACTGTACCAAAACAGAATATCCTATATAATAAAAGGCTAATATGCCAATAGACTGAACAGCAGAATAACTGAACAACCAGTCACTATGACCTGCACTGACCACTAGGGGGCGTGTGTGGAACATGGTGGATGTTGGCTGCTGGAGGATGGTGCAGCAGGTGAGTGGGGACACCAGACCAAGCTAGGGCGCTTGTCGCGGTCATCAGGGTAAGCCTCTGCTGGTTACTGAAAATTCTTTGCTCCTGCGTGCCACAGTCCAGCCTGGCACTCGCACCTGCTGCTGGCACCGGCCCCACTTGCACCCTCTGCTGGCACTGGAGCTGCCACTCGCACCCACTGCCAGTGCTCGGCGCCAGTCCCGATCACTTGGAGCCATCAGTGGGTGTGAGCAGCAGTTACTGGCCCTGATCACCTCTGAGGGCTTCTTCACCTCCCCCTGCTCCTGAGGGGCGATTGGGGCAGCAGCCGCTGCTCACACCTGCTGATGGTGCTGGCCCCACTCACACCCATTCACTCCGGCCCCAATCACTCTGCACTGTCAGCGGCTGTGAGCGGGGCCAGTGCCGTCAGTGCATGGGAGTTGTGGAGGCGGGACCGTGGGTAGACAGGGGACTGGGGCTGTGCCAGGAGAGGCCGGGCGGGGCGCAGAGGATGGGCCGAGACCTGCCCCTGTGTCTACTGCAGCCTCACAGCCCACAGTACCTTTCAAGGTGCACAAATTCGTGCACTGGGCCCCTAGTACAGTATAATACTGTTTTTCTTTTTTGCGTTTTCTAATTCTCTATATTGATATCCATAATTCTGTATTTCCTACTTAGAGTATCAGTGATTATCCCTGGCTGGTGAGATCATGGGTGATATAGCTTTGTACTTTTCCTCAGTTTCCTAATTTTTCATTATTATTAGTAGTGCTAGCATAAAAGAAAATAAGTTCTTTAAAAACAAAAAATCATGCACCAAAAAAAAAAATGGATGGGCTATATGACCAGGACAAATGTAAAAGACGGAACGAGTCCTATAAGGTTGGCTAAAGACAAGAATAAGTTACATGCTTTGAAAAATATTAAAATGTTTATAATTTATTTTTTAAGAAGAGGTTATTTCTAAGCAAGAATAAGTAAACACCTGCTGGTTGAAGCACAATGGTATCATGTTAATTGATGAAAAAAGAAAATATGACAACCTCCATTTGGCAAACATTCTCCAGCTGGAGAAAGGGTCTTCAAATGGGAACAGAGTAAATGTCCTATGACTTCTGGGGTGGCAGCGGAACTCCCAATCACTTGGGTGATGTGTCTGAGTCTCTGGGACCCAGATGAACAACAACCCAGAGTCCTAAAGTCATGAACAGTATTGCAAAATTGGTGCCAAGATATGTGGGGAATCAGAGAGCAGGTAAGGAGGGAGAAAACTGGACAAGTACCAACATCTATTGTGTCGGAGGAGTCAGTTATAAAATCAAAATCTGCTGCCTCTTCCTAACTCTGCAACTATGTAGGGAATTACTAGCCCTTCTGAGCTTCAATTACCTAATTATGAAATGCAAATAATAATACATAACTCCAGGAGTGTTGGTGAGGAATTAGGCACTCAATCAATACACGGGTGCTGCATACATTTTATGGCTGGGCCTAGAAACTAGGGACCTGTATGTTAGACCTTACTTTAATCCTTAATTTAGCATTCACAATTTAAACTTTGAATTTTAGGCTAGTCAATAAGTTGCAGGTAAGAAATTCTGATGAGGCACCTGAAAGGAGACTGGGAAAAGACTGAAGGAATAACCCATTCAGAACCTGAGACTTCCAAAGAGCCACAACTTCTGGTTACCTAGGAAAAATTTCATTCCCTTTACTGAGGGAAGGATCCTCCTTGGGAAGAGTGACAACCAACAAAAAGCAGCAAGCTCTTTCATTTCTTATGCTGACTCACAGAATGAGCCCGTGACATGCACTGCAGGCCTGAGTCTCCCTGGAACTTCTGGGACTGGTTTCAAGGCTGCAAGGAAGCCCTTGCAGAGTTCCAGGGTGGGAGGAATGAAAGTTAATGGTAATGGAGCTCAGCTGAGAAACCTAAACATCTGGCAGTGAGGCCTATTTTCAGTAGCCAGGGAGAGAAGAAAATAAAACCCATGGCCTGGCTCTAGTCAGCTATAGGAATACTTCCTGCTAAATACCATTCCT